GGGGAGCCCCAAAAAACCCAGGGGGAACCCCAAAAACCCGGGGGGGAGCCCCAAAAACCGGGGGGGGGGGCCCAAAAAACGGGGAGGGGCAAAAATCCCAAAGAAATGGGGGGCTGGGGTGGGGTAAGGACCCCAAAAAGGGGGGCAGGACCCCAAAAAGTGAGTGGGGACCCCAGAAAAGGGGGTAAGGACCCCAAAAAGTGATTAGGGACCCTAAAAATGGGGGGGCAGGACTCCAAAAAGGGTGTGTAGGACCCCAAAAAGGGGGTGCAGGACCCCAAAAAAGGGGGAATTGAGGGCACAGGACCCCAAAAAAGGAGGAAATGAGGACACAGGACCCCAAAAAAGGGGGAAATGAGGGCACAGGACCCAAAAAAAGGGGGAATTGAGGGCACAGGACCCCAAAAAAGGGGGAAATGAGGGCACAGGACCCAAAAAAAGGGGGAAATGAGGGCACAGGACCCAAAAAAAGGGGGAAATGAGGGCACAGGATCCCAAAAAGGGTGTGTAGGACCCCAAATCAGGGTGTCCCGTGCCAGGCTGTCCCTTTTGCCCCCCAGGGGAAGCAGGACAAGGTGGTCCTGCAGACCCCAAAAAAGGGGGAAATGAGGACACAGGACCCCAAAAAAGGGGGAAATGAGGGCACAGGACCCCAAAAAGGGTGTGTAGGACCCCAAATCAGGGTGTCCCGTGCCAGGCTGTCCCTTTTGCCCCCCAGGAGAAGCAGGACAAGGTGGTCCTGCAGGCCGAGGTGGCGAACCTGCGGCAGAACAACCGGCGGCTCCAGCAGGAATCGACCTCGGCCGCGCGGCAGCTCCGGCGCTTCGCCAGGATCTTCTCCGGGGCCGGGGCTGCTGAGGAGCCCTGAGGGGCACACAGGGGGCTGGGGGGGCTCCAGGACCACCCCCTGGGGCTCAGAGACCCCCCTGGGGCTGAGAGACCCCCCCGGGACAGCGACATCTCCTGTGGGATCGTCCCTGTGGGATCAGGAACAGCCGGAGCTTCGCCAGGAGCTGGAGCTGCTGAGAGGGACAGGAGGGGCACTCAGGGGTCTGGGGGGCTCCAGGACCACCCCCCTGGGGCTGAGAGACCCCCTGGGGACAAGGACACCCCCTGGGGACAAGGACACCCCCCAGGACAGCGACATCTCCTGTGGGATCGTCCCTGTGGGATCGGGAACAGCCGGAGCTTCTCCAGGATCTTCTCCAGGAGCTGGAGCTGCTGAGAGGGACAGGAGGGGTCTGGGGGGGCTCCAGGACCACCCCCTGGGGCTGAGAGACCCCCCTGGGGACAAGGACACCCCCCTAGGACAGCGACATCTCCTGTGGGATCGTCCCTGTGGGATCGGGAACAGTCGGAGCTTCTCCAGAATCTTCTTGAGGAGCTGGAGCTGCTGAGAGGGACAGGAGGGGTCTGGGGGGCTCCAGGACCACCCCCCGGGACTCAGAGACCCCCCCGGGGCTGAGAGACCCCCCTGGGGACAAGGACACCCCCCTGGGGACAAGGACACCCCCCAGGACAGCGACATCTCCCGTGGGATCATCCCTGTGGGATCGGGAACAGCCGGAGCTTCACCAGGATCTTCTCGAGGAGTTGGAGCTGCTGAGAGGGACAGGAGGGGCACTCAGGGGTCTGGGGGGGCTCCAGGACCACCCCCCGGGGCTCAGAGACCCCCCCGGGGCTGAGAGACCCCCTGGGGACAAGGACACCCCCCCCAGGACAGCGACATCTCCCGTGGGATCGTCCCTGTGGGATCGGGAACAGCCGGAGCTTCACCAGGATCTTCTCGAGGAGCTGGAGCTGCTGAGAGGGACAGGAGGGGTCTGGGGGGGCTCCAGGACCACCCCCTGGGGCTGAGAGACCCCCCCGGGGCTGAGAGACCCCCTGGGGACAAGGACACCCCCTCAGGACAGCGACATCTCCCGTGGGATTGTCCCTGTGGGATCAGGAACAGCCGGAGCTTCGCCAGGAGCTTCTCCCGGAGCTGGAGCTGCTGAGAGGGACAGGAGGGGTCTGGGGGGGTTCCAGGACCACCCCCCGGGGCTGAGAGACCCCCCTGGGGCTCAGAGACCCCTCCGGGGCTGAGAGACCCCCCTGGGGACAAGGACACCCCCCTAGGACAGCGACATCTCCCGTGGGATCGTCCCTGTGGGATCGGGAACAGCCGGAGCTTCTCCAGGATCTTCTCCTGGAGCTGGAGCTGCTGAGAGGGACAGGAGGGATCTGGGGGGGTTCCAGGACCACCCCCCGGGGCTGAGAGACCCCCCCGGGGACAAGGACACCCCCCAGGACAGTGACATCTCCCGTGGGATCGTCCCTGTGGGATCAGGAACAGCCGGAGCTTCGCCAGGAGCCGGGAACGGGATGGAGGATCTGGGGGGGCTCCAGTGGATTTGGGGGGCTCCAGGACCCCCCCCCTGAGGACAAGGACACCCCCCTGGGGGCACCAACAATCCCAGGATCCATCCAGGGGGACTTTTTGGGACCGGAGGAGTCTCCATATGGGACTGAGGACCCTCCATATGGGATTGGGGGGGTCCATATGGGATTGGGGGGGTCCATATGGGGCCAGGACCCTCCATATAGGATTGGGGGGGTCCATATGGGATTGGGGGGGTCCTTGTAGGACCAGGAGCCTCCATATGGGATTAGGGGGGTCCCTGTAGGATCAGGACCCTCCATATGGGATTGGGGGGTCCCTGTAGGACCAGGACCCTCTTTATGGGATTGGGGGGGGTCCATATAGGATTGGGGGGGTCCCTGTAGGACCAGGACCCTCTTTATGGGATTGGGGGTGTCCATATAGGATTGGGGGGGTCCCTGTAGGACCAGGACCCTCTTTATGGGATTGGGGGTGTCCATACAGAGCTGGGACCACCCTTTTGGGACCAAACCCCCCCCCCCCCCCCTTATTTAGGACCAACAAGAGCAGGAGCTTCCAGAGGGGACCAAAAGGATCCCGATGGAATTGGGACCATCCCTGTGGGGCCAGGAGGCTCCAAATAGGGCCGAGGGAGCCCTGTGGGGCCCAGGAATGTCCCTATAGGGCCAAGGGATCCTTATAGGGTCTGGGACTGCCCCTATAGGGCCAAGGGATCCTTGTAGGGTCTGAGACAGTCCCTATAGGGCCAAGGGATCCTTGTAGGGTCTGGGACTGTCCCTATAGGGCCAAGGGATCCTTATAGGGTCTGGGACTGTCCCTATAGGGCCAAGGGATCCTTGTAGGGTCTGGGACTGTCCCTATAGGGCCAAGGGGATCTGTAGGGCCCAGGACAGTCCCTATAGGGCCAAGGGGATCTGTAGGGCCCAGGACAGT